GAAACGTCATGTGTGATTACATGCATTCGTGCTTTTTGTTGCACGGTGCGCCGATGGCTGATGAGGCCATGCGTCAGCAGAGTGTTTTGGTTGGTAGTAGGTTTTGCTTTCTACTAGCACCGTCTGCTATGGAAGCAAAGGAGGGCCCGACCAATCACTTGATATAAGCGGAGGAGGAACAATTATTTCATGCTGCAGTGCCGGGGCCGGTTTCTCTGGCTCGATCCATTTTTTGCAAGAAATCCTGTCGTGTCATGACTGCCCACCCATGTGCTCTCAGTGTGGCCACTGCCTCCAAGAAGTTGTGTGTGGCCAGGCGCTTCATAGTTCTTGCCTGGGCGTCGTGGGGTCGGGTTTGTCTACGACAGAGTCTTTGCAATTTCGCCCCACTCGCAGAGGCGCAAAGCCTTGGAAGCTCTTCGCGCAATTTTTTTTGAACAAAACTGTGGTCCTCTACGCCCTGTGCTTATAGGGTCTTATACGCATCCATGACCAAGGTGTTGAGGCCAATGGACTTCAGGTATTCCTGGCCCGAATCACTTCGCACGACCCGCAGCAGGCTGTCTTCTTCGATCCAGGCCCCGACACTCTGGACAAGTGCAGATGGTACAGCAAGTCGTGCCAACCCTTGGAGTCCCCGTACTTGTTGCAGTTCTCTGAACCGCCGTACCGCTGCAAGTCGTCTGCCCGCTTGCGTTTGCGGGTGAACAGCTTCTGCCGGAGGTTGAAGAACAAGGTGTTGGCTCTGAGACGCAATGGAATCCCATCGTTGACCGCCACCTTGGACAGGCACTGCGGGGAGGGGTGCGCATGGACAGGCACTGGCACTACAGGTTCTAACAATGGCTGCAACGGCTATTTTTTGCCTAACTTGCCTTCCAGGGTTCACCAACAGATTTGTCTGTGTGCTCAAAGGTGAAGGCCCCTTCCAAGAGCCGCAAGGTGGCTTGGTCAATACTGGGAAGCTTCAAATAGAAGTCCGTAGGGGCAAAGAAGTCGTGAAGAGCTGTAGTTGGTGTGGTCTTCATATGCTTGGCGGCTTCAACTGCGATCATCCTCTCTAAGTACAGTTGGTTGACCGAATACAACTCCATTCGAGGCACCGCAGCGACTGCATCAAGTAACCGGATGCAAGCATCGAAGGGCACGGTGTCAAGCCAATCAACAGGGAGAGAGTCCTGGAAGGCAAAAGCCAGCAAGCCATTCCTGATGGCAAGGTTACTCAAAGCGATGCTCCCGTAGAACCTACCCGCGTGCTTCCGCACGCACGCTGAGCCGACAGCCCCTGCCGACTTATTGCACGCTCGGCCACTGCCTTCACAGATGCCGGCCAGAATGCTTCCAGCCGCTGGGGACCATACCACTTCCTGAGAAGGCGCAGCGAGGTTTGCACACGCGTGCACATGTGCATGGGTTGAAAACACCTGGTTTTAAAAATCCACAAGCAACCAGGTCCTTGATTGTCGGTGTCGTCTGGGGCAATTGCTTGGTTGGCACTCCACGTGTGCGAAGCCGTGGTCGACGCACCTGACCCTGCCGTCGTCGCCCCACCCTCACGGCGGGAGTGCCTGCAGGCTGGGCCGGCCCTGGAGCGGGCGGCGCGGCTGGCGCTGCGGGGGCTGGGTCTGCACAGGGACGATGTTGGAGTTTGTAGATGCCCCCCAGAACCTCCGTCAAAAGTCCTTCGCTTGCTTTTTTGGGATAAAAGCTTTCCTCAAACAGCCGCTCACGCACGGCCTCCCCATCAAAGGTGTGTACACCTAGGCGGGTGCGGCCGTTGCTACACGAGCCCATTTGCTTCACATAGGTTTCCTGCTGGCAGCCGAGCCACACACAGGCATGCGCTGACACGCAAGTCTCTGCTTGAGCTGTCCCTTTTCCAAAGGCTTCAGTTCCGTCTAACAATTCGATCAAGTCTTCCTCTTGCAAATATTGAGTCTTCGAAGCGCAAATCACTTTTTCGAGCTCCCCATTCACAATCTGAATCTGACCTCTTGTTTGGGGCAGCTTCTTCAAGATGCCATGGACAGTAATGTGGCCCTGCCTCCACACGAATGTGGCAGAATGTGCGTGGGGCTGGTTGCGGGACAGCCAAGAGAGCACAATGGACTTCAAGTTGTCTTTCCCGTCTGCGCTCGCACCAATCAAGACCTGCGACAACCTCGAACCAACGACATTCCAGTCACTATCTGTGCCGGGCACAGCTGTGACTTTGAGCGCGTTGCTCTTCTGCCCACAAAACCCAAAGACGGCCTGTGATTGAAAAGCGGCGTGAACTATGTGCCCATCTGGTGGGCACCCACCACCCTGCGCTACCCGGCGGCACGCTTCAGCCACCTCATGCGGAGCCACAGCTTGCAACGGCGTCTTTTTTTGAGCTGCCACAGGGTTGAGGGGCATGTCTTTGTTCAAGGTGTCCGTGTAGAAAGATTCGATCAGAGTAGCGAAGTGGTCCTTCAAGGTTACGTCTTTCGGCATCTTGTGAAGATTGTACTCTGAGCCCACCGCATTCTCGTCGTAGACGTGCCTTGACCACCTGGCAGAGTTGAGGCTCGTAAAAAGAAGGTTGTTCGGCTTTTATATTACTTATTCAATGCCCCAATGAATGTAACGTTCTTGCAGTGCTTGGCGTGTCGGAGCCCAGGCCTGCTGAAGAAAGCCTCTCTCTCTTCTGGGCTGGCGCCTTGCAAACGGCCAATGAAAGTTTCCTTTGCGCACGGGTCTTCGCACTGAGAAGAAGCGTTCAAAGCCCTGACAGCGACGTCCTGCAAGCGCTGTTGCGCGTGCTCGACTGGGTCTGTTTGTCCCTGGATGCGCTCCTTCATGTCGGACCAATCTCGAGCAGCGCGGGCTTCGATGGCATCTAGCACATCCTCTGTCACCCGCGCGGGAGAGTCCTGCGTAGTAGGCGGGACTGCAGGCCGAGGGGATGGAGAGGCGGAGCCCTGCGGTCTTCCAGCTTCCATGTCCATGCTGACAGGGATTGGAAGGGCGCTCTGAAAAAAGCCAAGGCGGCTAGGCAAGCAAGGGTTGAACGTGTTCGTGTCAAATGTTTCAAAAGGCCAAAAACAAAAAGCAATCACCGTACCATGATTCTGTTTTTGGTGAGCACAGCAGCAAGCTAGGTATTGAAGTGGCGCTTACTGTCTAATCTACAGAAGTCCTGACCGGAAATCCATATACAGGCGGCCGATAGACTGTTCTGTAAACGGCATATCGCCGCTTTCCGCAGGGCAGTTTGCCAACGGCGTCTGGAATACAGATTCTCCCAGCAAAGCATCGGCTAGCCGATCCCCTGCTTCCATAAGCCACGGCTGCACAGTCAAATCTGCTGGCCCGTGCAAATGCAGCATTCGGGATTGAATTTCCCCAAGCCACCGGCAAATCTCCAGCAAATTCACTGTGGCAGCATCCGAAGAACTGCGGGCCTTGTTCTTCGTTCTGCGTTGTCTGTTGCGCCACAATCGTTCTGTCCCGATGGTGCCTGCAGACACCGCCCAGCCGCAACAATTTGCCCACCTTTTGGCTGAGTGAGCCGCCACCAAACCATGAACGACCACCGGTCGCTGCTGTGACGCAACAGTTCTTTCCAGCGCTGCGCCCCCAGCACACAGGTTGCTGTGCTCCGTGGCCCGCAATGTCGACCTCGTGGATTTCTTGGGACCCCGGGGGCGCGTCCGTACGTGCCGCAGGTACTGTACCTGCGCTCTGCCCCATTCCCCGGAAGATCCCCCAGCCATGTGTGCGAAGCATCGGCTCTTGAAGAGATCTGCAAACTCTCGAAGCTCAGCAAGGACAGCGTCTTTCTGGAGGTGTTCTGCTCGCAAAAGGCCATGCACCGAAGAACTCACCTGTCATCGAATGTGTTTGGAAAGGCTTTGGCTTGGTCGTAAAACTAAAAGCACAGATGGATTGAAATGAATGGTTGGTCATTCAATGTCAATGAAAATTGGAATTTATAGTGAACAATGTGGAGGAAAAAGTGGCGTTCCCCGTCTCTAGGTCGACAGCGCGACGCGAAAACGCCGTTAATGTCGGTATGTAAACACATGAGCATGGGAAGACGAAAGCATGCACACACGATGCAGTCGACCAGCTCATGGTTCCTGATTCTGTCAATCATTAACTGGCTGCACCAAGATAAAGAATAGCTTCGGACACGCCTCAACATCGGAACCGTCAGCCTCACCCACAGGAACCTAGATACATGAGTCTACAGCGCAACGCAAGGAGGAGCCGATGGAAGAGGAGGGGAACGAGCAGGCCAGCAGGAGTAGAGTCTTAATGCCCTTATTGCGACGATGTGTCAACTTAAAACCGTATAAATTGGAATCGCGGAACCCGCCGCGCGGACACTCGTGGCCTTCGCATGGGAAAGGTCTGGACGCTGCTTTCGCAGCAAGTCGACCAAGATCACACTCTTGGCGCAAGTGGGCAGGACCTTGCCACTGTCTGGATGGCGCCACTCCGAGGCGTGGCATTGCTCCAGGAACCTGTATGGGTTCCGAGGGAGAGGTGTGCCATGAAAGTAGGCGTTCAAGACCTGGCCAACGCTTTCTGCAGCGTAGTCGCCCACTGAAATCCAAGTCATGCGTTCATGGTGTTCCTCAAGCTCAGCACGCACGTGGTCTTCCACTGCATCTTGCACCTGAGTCCAGCTCTGGAGAAGCTTGCGCGCACAGCGCATTGCCCACGCTGCGTCCCAAGATCGCCATTCAATGGCCTCAACAATCCGGAAATACACATGCAGCGGATCTTGTCCCAAAAAAATACCCCAAGCTTGGAATCGCCCACGGTCCAGGATCACGCCGCCACTGTCCAAGAAAGCCTGGTCTGCAGCATTGAAAGGTTCACGTAAGTCGACAACTTTCCGTCGGACCAGTGCTGGAAAAGCAGCTTCCAAGGCCGCAGCGGCCGCAACCCAAGAACGGTCTAAGTCGTCGAAGCAGATCGCTACAGGCCGGGTGCCTGATCTAGCAGACAACCTGCAGGGGATCTGAACACTTATATAAGTGGCCTTGACTTTCAAAACAATCTGACGAAGAACCCTTGTATTTGGCATCGGGCCCGCCTCAAACACACCTGGAGTATGAGCTGTTTTGCAGCGTTGTCTTCGACTTGAGTAAATAATGCTGGCAAGAGTGGCACATCGCTCAATCCAGTCGCAGCTCCCCACGTCCGCTTCTGCTTCGGAGCCTGCTTCTTTGGCGGGCGGCTTGTTTTGTGGACTGCACGCACAGCGCCTGCCCACACTTTGCCCTTGACTCGAACTAGACTCCGCCCTGAGTCGGCGGGGAGTTCGGCATGCACATCTTGAATCGCTTTTCTCTTTTTGTTTGCCTTTTTGGGCAGCAGCTGTTTGGCATCGGAACTGGAAAAGTCTATGTTCACGAAAGAGCCAAAAGCCGAGACTACATGCTGGGCCATAGATGGAATCAGTGGCATCAGTATGTTTTGTGCATAGGTATGCAACCAAGATTTCAACGTCTGCCAATCCGGTGTGGCCAAGCAATGGTGAAGCATGGCAAGGTGGAGTTGAGACCTCTCTTCGTCGGTCAATGCCTTCGTCAAAGCATGTCGCTGGATGCATTGAACCATGCTGTTCTCTGTGAGGTTCCGCAGGAGCTTCTCAAGCGCAGCAAAAGATTCCTGGTCTTGAAAGGTGTTCCACAGCAGCTGCCATAAATCACCTTTCACAATCCAATGCCCGAGCACATCTCCAACCAAGGTGCATCCCTTTGTGGAGCTGCCCACTGGCAAGTTATACCGGTATCGATGGGTCACGCACTCGTAGAGTTGAGCTCGCACCTCGACAATCAGGTTAAGGAGCGGTGTTGCGTCATGGAAACACAAACTATGTGATAAGCTTCGCAGCTTCGTGACCCCCCCAAAAAAAATGGAGCATAAATCTCAAAAAGGCACAAGTCGCACTCCTTGGGAGGAAACATATTTGCCAGCGTTCCGCTTCCCACAGCGCCGAATGTGGCAAAGCACACTGTCATCTCCTTGGGGGCAGCGCAAAGGCAGCTCGCAGTAGGCCAGCTCAGCACACGCTATATCTTCAAAAATCTCCTTGGCATGGCCTGCAAGGGTCAAAGATGTGTCATCCGTTGGCAGGTTTGCTAGGGAGTTTTCCGCAAAAGCGTGCACACGCGCAGCCCAATCGGCCAAGTTGACGAAGGGCGCGTCAGAAGCAACGCGACACTTTTGAAAGCAACGATCTAGCACATGTGGTGACTTTGAAGATTCGACTGGCCGGGCCACCAGAAGAGGCAAAGTCACCGCGATATCCGGCAAAATGCAGGGGTAAGGGTCGTTACTAGACATTCGCCAGCATCCTCCACCATCTTTGTGCTGTGAGCAGCAGCCCCCCTCTCTTCGGGTAGCGGTCAAAATCTCTCACCAATGTTTCACCCTGTTGAGGCTGAGACCAAACACAGCAAAAAGATGTCTGCCTCCGCGGGTGTGGAAAGAAATCACCTTGATGCAGAGGTCTCTGCGCAGTGTGCAGCTGAGGCAGCTTTGCCACGTTGCACAAACTGCCGACGCTCACCATTGAAAGAAGTTTGGCCTCATCCCTGGACCGAGCAGCAGCCTCAGCGATAGGGATGTGCTCCTGGACCTTGGGTTGGTGCTCAGGCCCACAATTGGTCAGGGGATGAAAATAAGGGTGAAACTTCTGCAAGCTGCTTCGACGCGGTAGAGCCAGCTTGCCTTCCGTGGGCTTGCAAGTGTGGTTGAGAACCCGGGAAAGCTGGGAATGCGTGAATCCGCAGGAGCAGGAGAAACCATCTTCGCAACGCCTGACCCGCCGCACAGCTTCCTCCAAGTCCGCCTTCTGACTCTCATGGTTTTCATGAGCTTGGAGGTGGCGGTCCCGATCTCTGGCAAAGTTGCGGGCGTCCGGATTCAACTGAAACTTCCACGTGTTCCCACGGGCGAAGCATTCCTTGTTGGGAAGGCACTGGCACGCCAGCCCAACGTACTCACATTCCCACATTGACATGCCGTAACGGAAGTGCTGCCTAAACAGGTAGTGTTAAACATGTTTCGAGAAGCAGGTAGTGTTAAACATGTTTCGAGAAGCTCTTTGGATCCACTGGTCTCGATGTCATTACCAGGACGTCAACTCACTTGAAGCGGTGTGCTTGACGGAAGGGCTTTTCTGACGTTGGTGACTTCAAGCCGGAGCATATCTCCAGAGCAGAGATCAAAAACCGTATCACCAGCAGGACCCTCCAACCTCCCACGCGAGCTGCGGGCCTGCAGCGGCGCCCCGGACTGGAACAGTCACTCGGCAACACACCTGGGTGTGACTCTCGTGAAAAGAGTTGTAATGTTTGGCAAACATGTTTGGCAACCAGCCCTATATCTCCACAGGCCCCAATGATTGCCCTTAACTGAAGAGTCACCCTTTCTTTTCCTCTCAAGAAGAAGCTTACCACCCTTTCCAAGGCAAAAAGGCCTTGTTTGCAGTAATATTGATGCCTGTGATCACCTGTCTAAACAATGCTACTCTATATACCGGAACCTGCT